ATATTTTTGGGGATATACTTTATGTGTTTATAAAAACACTCATGGATGTGTGTGTTGATATTCTTGTCATTTTAAGGACTTCTTGGACCGGATTTGATTTACTCGAGACGAGTAAAGGTTTAAGTGTGGGGGTGTTTGATGCACACTAATTAGTAATGCATAATTATATGTTTTTATGTTTGATTTATGTTGATTGTTTGACATTTTATTTAGTTTGTAAACATTTGTGTGAATTTAGTTGTAATTGTATTTTAATCTTCATTTATTAGTTGTAAAGTAGAATTAGGAATTATGGTGTTGGAAAGGAAGACTTTGAAGAGAAGAAAACAAGAAATTTGACTGTCCAGGAGTAAAACCCGACCGGGTAGAAACCCCCACCCGGTCGGGTATGATTTAACAGACGAAATTGCCAAGAAAGTCACTGGACCCGGTCGGGTCCCCTACTTGACCCGGTCGGGTCAGATGTGACCCGGGACAAAACGGCGTGCAAAGATCACCAGAACGTGGCAAATATTTGATTTTGACACTTTACCCGGTCGGGTATCCGCCCCAGGGTGTTGAAAACACCTATAAATAGCACACTTTTCCTTCACTTTTAATCATCACTTCTTCCATACTCCTAAACTCAGTTTAGAATAGCATTTCTTATATTTTTATAGCATGTTTAGTCTCAAATGAGGAGCTAAACCCTTCCATCTTGGTTTTGCTACTTTGAAGCTTAATGAATTTGTAAGTTGTGAGTTATTTTCTTTAATCTTCTTCCTTGAATATTAATTCTTCCTTTCAAATACTATTTCTATATCAAAGATGGGGAGTGTTACTAAGATGACAATTAGTTAACATCTTGACATTGGTTATAGTAATAGTTATTTCTTCCTCTATGTTAATATTGGGGAGTGTTACTAAGATGACAATTAGTTAACATCTTGATGTTAATCATAGTAGGATTCATATTCTTTAATATTCTTCCTTGAGTATTAATTAATTCCTATTCATATTTCATTATAATATTTTAAACATTACTTAAAGTATCAACTAGTTTTGTTTCTCATATTAATTATTACTAGAATCGAGGAGAATTAATTATATGCATCTCATGGTTAATATGCCAAGGAGAATTAATTATATTGATTAAACCAATAAACCGCTTGTGTTGAGGTTATCAATCTCAATCATTTTCATCTTAAGTTTATTGCTACTATCAAGTTAATATATGACACTTGTTCTATATTGACTCGATAGTAAGTTTTATTAATGAACGCGTCTCGTTATTAATAACTACCCTCGATGAACTGGATATACTCCTCGATTGAGTATTCGAGAGGAAGATAGTTAAAGATATAACCGGGATCGACGAACATTTCATTAAGTGGATAAAAGCAAAACCAAGCCTCCACATCTATTAATCAAACTCATATAGGTTATTCATCTTAGTATATTTAAATCAAACCAATCTAAACCCCCCTTGATACTACTTATATAAAAGAAAAGTATTCCTTTCCCTGTGGATACGAACCTTACTTCACTATACTACGTATTAGTGTTGTATTGATAAATTATTTTGAGTGCACCTCACGACAAGTGCTCGTCAGGAATTACAACATGGTCGGGTACTGCTAAGGTAGTTCGTGACTAATCAAAAGGGTGTTGGTAAAGGTAAAGGGCACAAATCTACTGACACCAACATACATGAAGAAGAGTTACCTGTGCAGGAAGATGGGAATGAAACTGACTATTTCAGCTCAAGTGATGAAGGCAGTTACAAGTCTGGACCACAATCTGAAGAAGAAGAAGAGCCTGTTAGAAAGAAAAGCAAGTTTCCAAGTTTTAAAACAGATGACAAAGTTGAGTTCTCATTAGGAATGAGCTTTGAATGCAAATCTCAAGTGAAAGAGGCAGTGGATAAATATTATGTCACTAACATGTATCCTTACTATTGGGCTAAAAATTGTGCTAACATGCTTAGGGCCAAGTGTTCCGATTTAAATAAAACATGCACATGGATGGCTTACTTTGGGATAGATAATAGAAGTAGTAGTATGAAATGAGTTGTAAAGACTTTGAATAGTGAGCACACCTGCAATCCAGGGTGGCAAATATCTAGTGCAACAGCCAAATGGTTAGTCAATAATTTTTTCAAAACAAAACCTGGTGTTTCTGAGATGAAAGTAGCCTCAATGAAAGAGATGGTGAAGAAGGAACTAAACTGTGAGGTGTCTCTTGAGCAAATGAAGAAAGCCAAGTCTATTCTCAGAAAGATGGAAAAGGGGGACATTAAGGCAGAGTGCAGAAACTTAGAGGATTATAAGGCTGAGATAATGAGGTCCAATTCAGGGAATACTTGCATACTTCAGGTCATGCAGCCCACTCCAGTTTTTGAAAGGTTTTATGTGTGCTTTGAGGCTTGCAAGAAGGGCTTCTTAGAGGGGTGTAGGAGGCTGATTGGAATTGATGGAGCATTTCTAAAGTCTGAAGTCAAGGGTGAAATCCTCCCAGCAGTCGCACGTGATGCAAACAATCAGATGTTTCCTATTGCTTGGGCGGTTGTGGGTTCTGAGAGCAAAGCTACATGGAAATGGTTTCTGGAGAACCTCAAAGATGATTTAAATATCGGAACAGGAGAAGGATGGGCATTTGTATCAGACCAACAGAAGGTTGGTATATATAAACTGATATATTTACTATATTATGATATCTGGTATAATATAAACTGATATACATCAACTCATATTATATATTTACAAATCTGAGACACTTATATACACTTATATATACATGAACTTATATAATATATGAGATACTTATATTCATTTATTTGCAGGGATTGATGCCAGCATTGTATGAGACATTACCCGATGTGGAACATAGAAGATGTGCGAGACACATGTATACTTTGTGGAGAAGATCACATCCTCGGATTGAGTTACAAAGGCAGTTTTGGAAGTGTTGTAAATCTGCATCAAAGAGAGAATTTGAGATGAATCTAGAGGTACTGAAATCTATATCTCCTAGTGGACATGAAGAGATCTTGAAAATAGATCCAAAGTTTTGGTGTAGGGCTTTCTTTAATAGGTCTATCAAATGTGAAACTGTGGACAATAACTTGTGTGAAGCTTTTAATGGAGTGATAGTGCCTGCTAGGTCTCAATTAGGGTTTTCTCAATTGGAATTTATTAAAAAGTTGGTCATGCAAAAGCTTATCAAGAATAGGACTTTAGGGGACAAGTGGGTTGGTCAACTAGGTCCTAGAATTAGGAGAAGGATCAACAAGACAGTGACAGCAAGCAACTATTGGAGGGTACTCTTTAATGGGTCTGATGGCTATGAAGTTTCATGTGGATCTGATACATATCTCGTAGACTTGGAGGGTAGGAGCTGTTTGTGTGAGCAGTGGGATGTATCTGGGATACCTTGCAAACATGCAATTTGTGCAATTAGGGACAAAGGTCATCCAATTGATGATTACGTTTCCCAATGGTATAAGAAAGATATGTATCGACATACATATGCTCACATGATGACACCTATAGTCGGTCCTCTCTTTTGGCCTAAAACAAACTTGACAGTGTTGCCAGTAGAATTGAAAACTAAAGAACTAGGAAGGCCAAGAAAAAACAGAATTAAAGAAATAGGTGAGTATCCTAGGACTGGTAAGTTACCCAAGAGAGGCACAAGTATCACATGTCAACTATGTTTTGCAAGAGGCCATAATAAAAAAGGTTGTCCATTAAAAGAGGTAATTTTAAATGGAACAACATCATTTCCACATGATTTAGAAGGTAGTAGTTCAACACAAAGGAAGAGATCATGTGGACACTGCTCCCAAGAAGGACACACACAAAATAGGTGCCCTTTGAAGACCAACTCTGATCAGGTACATCCAATTATAGTAATAAAATGAACTGTTTCATTTGTTGTTTCATAGTAACTGTTTGATGTGTATATGTATGACTTGTAGGTAACCAACACTGAATCTGGTACTCCTATTGAGTCAAGAAATGTTACTGAGAGTAGATTGAAGACATATTTCAGTGAGAATCAACAAGTGGAGAGACCCAGTGATGGTGTATTTCAAAGTAGGGGAAACAACTCCATTGCTGCAGCTGGTTTGGAGGTATAACTTGTGAATTAAGATTGTCAATGTCTAATGAATACTAACATGGTACGTTTTTTGTAATAGACACTAAGGGCTAGGAAAGGAAAGCAGATTCAAGCCAATGCAAGAAAATCCAAAAAAATGCCCAGTGAGCAAATTGAAGTTATTGAAGATGCTGCAACTGCAAGGCAGAGATTTCATGAACTATATGACTCCATTGAAGCTCCACATGAAGACTAGTTTAGTTTATCATTGCAGTGACCTGTTAGAATGTTCTTTTGTTCTATAAATGTAATTATGAAGGTTGTTTTGTTTAAGAATTTATGGTGATGATGTACAAGGGTTTTTGTCATGGATATAATGTCACCTTGTACAAGGGTGTTTTTGTGAAGGATATACTGTCACCTTGTACAAGGGTGTTTTGTGAAGGATATATTGTCACCTTGTACAAGGGTGTTTTTGTATAAAGTATTACTTCATCTGACTGATATATATGTGTGTTGGTGTTGATTATTTTGGACTGATATTGTTGTTAGTTGTTATAACATCATCTGACTGATATATATGTAATCTAGTTTAGTTTGTTGAGCTTCATACAAGTCAGAATCTTAAATTTTATACCTTGCTTTATACATGTAATCATCTTTGATTTTTCATTTTGTCCTGTATGAAAAACTATATTGTGACCAGTAACTATATTGCTCACATCTTAAAAACTTTCATTTTACACAATCCAGAATCTTAGTATCAATAAGCTGCATTTTGTCCTGTATGAAAAAATGCCCAAAATCATGGTGCATTAATAACAAACATACATCAATACCAAACATACATCATTGTGACCAGTTTTTAAAATTTCAATATTTGAAATGATTGTCATTACAACATACTTCATACACCATACTAAACAACAACCAGTAGGATACCATTACAACAACATGGATTCAACTACACATAATAATACCATTACAACATAAAACCACACACAGTAGGTTATATTATCCTACATTCTCAGACAGATTTAGATCATTGGAACCTCACAATAGTCCCAAGCTAACTTATTTTTGCTTCCAATGTCAAAACACACAATCCATGAACCTAGTAGCAACATTCCTCCCACAACACACCATAAGACAGTCCATTTTTTCTTCTTTTTGGGCATTGCATTTTTCTCCTCAAGTTCAACTTGCAGCTTATTGATTTTCCTCAGCAGACCTGGTATAATCATCTTCGACCTTGGACACATTTCTGGATCAACACATTCAAACATTTTACATCCTCCATTACCCTATCATTAACAAACACATAAAGAAGAATATTATTACAAGACATTACAACATATGACATATTACATGAGATCTCCATATTATATCAAGTTGTCTACATATGGCTCAAATGCAATATATATGTGTACATATATTCATTCAAACAAGTCAAAACGCAAAAACAGCCTAATTCACCCAAATAAAACTAAATAGGTTAAAGCAAACTTCAAGGTCATACCTTTAATGTTGAGCAGGTAAGGAAGCGTCTCCCTGGATTGTCATCTGTCCATGAAGTCAGCATCTTTAAAGGGATTCCACATGCACAAATTCCATGAGCCATGTTCGTAGCTCTCAAAACAAAATTCTGAAAAAACAAACCAAAAAATTAACGGAGAAAGTGGAATGTAAATTCAGCCCATAAGATGAACACTAAACAACAATCTAGGGTTCGCCATAAAAAAATTAATCACCCTTCAAAGACAACACAAAGCAAGATAGCAGAGATAGATGAAGTTTGGGGATGAAATACGCAGGCATGAAGACGAAATTAGGGTTACATATATTACAGGGTTGGGTCATTGCTGAGTTGGAGTCCAGCGTTTAAAAAACAAACGGTTCTATTAACCACATCAACATCATTTAACGTCATGCGCAGGAGTATACTCATTTAACATCAAAATAACTATTTTGTGTACTTCCTTCTTTCAATTGTAACATGAGGTACTCAATTGACATTTTTCTCTATCATAAATGTACATTACAAATGTGCGCCTAGCATCATTCACGTATATAGACGGGTTCACATGGTTTTGCTTCTCCTCTGCTCCTTCCATGACTTGTATTCAGGAAATTTCAGACCGGTCCTTGAATTGAGTCAACCTCTGATTCTGTTCGGCTACCGGTTATTACTATAATACCGGTCTGTTTCGCCGGAGAAGAAGTGGACGACCGCCTCGATGACGCCGGGGACGAGGCTACCGTCGTGGAAGGAGAGGGAGAACAACAAGCGGCGGGAGCGGCGGAGAAGGGCGATCGCCGCCAAGATCTTCGCCGGACTACGAATGTACGGAAATTACAAGCTCCCCAAGCACTGCGACAACAACGAGGTCCTTAAAGCTCTCTGTAAAGAAGCCGGTTGGATCGTGGAAGACGACGGAACTACTTACAGAAAGGCAAGTTATACAATACGATTCCATACATTATTAAGCGTATCCGTTAATTCAATAAAGTGGTGTGAAATCTATATATTTCCTGGTTTATTCATCGAGGGCGTGAATTAGGAACAATCACTTGCGCCGGCGGTTCCAAACTTCCGATCTATGCTAATCCTTATTGTTCTGCATATAGATTGCTAAAATGCGCTGGATAGCGAGTGCATGTTAGCATGGTGAGGAATGCTCCAGTAGAATATTTGTTTTTGTAGCTGATAAGAACCTGCCCAATAAAAAATAAAAGTAATTTATTAGCTCATGCTTCCGTAAATCACTACTACCTCCGTTCCGGTAAAATTCACCAAATTAACTTTTCTTCGTTAATGACAATCAACTTTGTTGACTAAAGATATTTTCTTAATACGAAATTATTTAAAATAAAAAAATTATATCAAAATGTTCCTCATTCAAAATATTTTCATAAAAGTGTAAAATTTATAAATTACATACAAATATAGTAACTAAAATCATCGTCTAAAGTTTGTCATCATTGACCAAAAAAAGTCAATATGACGAACATAGTTTTATGTTTGATTTTACTTTACGGGGTTTTAGGTAGACTAGAAAATAGAATTGGCTTTCCAAAAACGGTCTCACCTTATTTAAAGCGGTAGTACTCAAATGAGTATAATAAAGGAGATAAATGAATAGTGAAATAGGATAAGAAATTGAAATAAGTTGAAAATAACAATATAAATAAATAATAAAAACTTATCGAAAGAAGTTGAAATAAAAAATTCCAATATCTAGAAAGGAAAGGTGAAATTTAATATCTAGACGGGAAGTGCTTAGTTACCCATAGTAGAATTTTGGTTCATTCTTGGAATTTTGTTGCGGCTAATGCCCATCTTTCTCTCTTTCTTTTTGGGAACAGAGTTTCTGTTTAAATTACTAGGGAGTATATAAACTGCACAAATATGTGTAAGTATGTTTTATTCATATCAGAGTTTTTTATCTTAATAAAATTTCTTCAAATAGGTATGTATGAGTCTTAAAACATAATGAAAATTATATATGGAGATTGGAGCATGTTTTAGTTCAATTTGTTAAGATCTGAGTTTTCATCCTAAAAGGACAACCTGATAGGAGAAGTAGTCCATGTCTTAATATAGTTTTTTGTTGATTCAAACTTTTCCGGTGTGAGATTCTAACACCCCTCCTCATGACCAGACACTTCGTCTGGATCGTGTCGTCAGTCATTTTTTCGTCGATTCGTAATTGTCATTTTTTTATAATTGTGTCATCATTTTTCATGAGGGATCCCACACCATGGAGCGATTTGGCTCTGATACCCCATATTAAGATCTGGGGTTTCATCCTAAAAGGTCAATCTGATCGGAGGAGTAACTCATGTCTTAATATAGCACTCTGTTAATTCAAACTTTCCGGTGCAGGATTCTAATACAATTTAATAAATTTTACGTGTTTGTTTACCCTTTTAAGTTGTAGCTACAAAAATTCATCATAGCTCCAGATTGAGGAGTCTATGTGGCTTATATATAGACGGTTGAGATTATTTTATACTGGATTCCAGGCGCACGTTTATGCAATTATGCTGATGAAATTTCACTTGCGCACGATAGATTGCTTTAGGCTGATCATATTTCACTTTGTGCACAACTACCGATGAATTCTCCCGTTTCGCATTCTTCGCGCTGTACGTTTTTTCACCTCGGGTAGTTTGTGGGCTTGCCCCTCACCGGATAGCTCACCCGGTGGAAAGGTGGTGTTAAGAAAAGTTTAGATTTCAACTTCAAACAATAATTTGATAATTTGGAATGAAACATTTCTTTCTTTTCATTTGAATCATATCGAAACTCAATTTATATCCAGCTAAGAGCTTGTCGAATACCTAATAAGGATGTTTTTACTTGGCCTGTAATTCCTCTCAGACTAGATCAGACCAGTTCAGACCAGATCAGACTTGGATAGTTATAAAAATACAAAGAAATCAGACTAGATCAAATCAGTTCAGAAAAAGTGTATCATTAGCGCCTATTGTCCGTTTATATAATTACAATAGGCGATAAGGGTGTATCATTGACTTCTAATTTTTTAAAAAGATAATTTGTGCTTCACAAAAAAATACTCCTCTCCGTTCTTTTTAAGTTGCAACGATCAACATTTCACATTTGTCAACGCACGTCTTTGACCGTAATTATATCTTAATTCTATGAGTAAAAAAATTAAAAATCGGATTTTGAATATTTGTAATGAGATGAATTGAACAATATTTTTTTTAAAAATATCATAAAATAATAGTGTAAAATGTAGTCAAAGTTGAGCATGTGAATAGTGTAAAATTCAACATGTTGCGATTGAAATGGAACGGAGGATAGTAAATATCAATGTCACTTTTCAAAGAATAACCGTGTCAAGAATATGTCTAATTGTATGAAATCGCTTCATCATACCTCCGTAGTCATTTAAATGTGTTATAACAATTTACATATGTTCTTTGACATAGTTATTACATACTCCCTCCGTCCCTTAAAGTTTGTCCTAGTTTGACTTCACAAGTTTTAAGGAGATGAATTTGACTTTACACTGTAGCGACACTGTTTCACATTGTAACGACACAGTTTAGCACTGTTTGATACTGTTTTGCACTGTTTGACACTTTTTGGTATAGATTTGTTTACCAAATAAGGAAGTTGAAAAAGTAGGACAAACATTTTGGGACATCCGTTTCGAAAAGTGTGATTAAGGGACGGAGGGAGTATCTAATAGTCATAATTTTATATCAAGAAGCGATGACACTGATTATATCATAAGTACTGGTTACTTCCTCCGTCCCAATTTAATTTACAAAATTTCCTATTTTGGTTGTCCCAAAATGATTTTCTACTTTCTATTTTAGGTATGTAGATAAGAATAAAGTGACAAATTTATCCTTATTTTTACTTTTTTCCATTAACTAAAAGACATCTACTTTAATAAAGATGGATAAAAGTGAAAAAAGTAAGCATGATTTATTGTTCTGCTTTAATATCTGTGTCTATCAAAGTTTGCGATTCAATTCGAGATGGAGGAAGTATATCATAAATGTGGGGCACTTGCCTCTCGGGACCCCTAGATCCTTAGCTGCGTGTATTCGTATTTTGATACTAGTACTACATTCAGGAAAATGTAGTTTTTGTTTTGACACTACATTCAGGTTTCAGACTGTTCAGGTGGATGGCAGAATGGTCTTCTCAAGCTTCCCACTTGCCCAGAACTCACCTGCTGAAATCTTGCGGGTTTAATAACTTCGCTATCCGTGATTTTGCAGAACTTTTGTCACCCTCTTAATTGCTACTCATTTCTTTTATCACCCCTTATTTGTCTGTCCCGTAATTTCAATCGAAATTCCTACTTTCTCATTCCCATTTAAACTTTTGACGGTAGAATTATTTTTATTAAATAAAATTTACATATTCAAAAACTATATTAAAGTCGTTACAAAGTCTGATCAAGAAATTTAAATTTGATAAAAGTTGAATATGTAAAGTAAAATATTAAAAACAATGTACGTTGATCGGAGAATAGTGAACAAGAATCTTTAAATGAGACAGAGGGAGTATTTGATACTTCGTATTCGAAGTAATCCAAATTTTTCTTAAAGTATTATTAAAAATAATTTTTGGATCAAAGTTTAATTAGAATTATTATAAATACGGAGTATTACATTGTTTTCATTAAAAATTACTAATATAGAGGTCACATTTTGTCAAATGTTTTTATTTCAAAAATGAATCCAACCCGAATCTCCACCCACGTAAGTTAGTGGTGTCCAAATTACTCTATTTACTTCTCATGCTTCCGGTGCTGTGCCAAGGTTAAAACTAGGTGTGTGCATAACGGTTCGGTCAATCGAACCGAACCGTACCAAACTGAATTAAATCAAATCAAAACCGAACCATTTGTAATTTGGTTTGAGTTTGATAGTATTCCTCCCAACCCGTATTAACCGAACCAAACCGAACCGAAATCATAAAACCGAATAAAACCGAACTAATCTAAAACTGAAATAATTTCTTATTTTTTTAAAATAACAAATCAAAACCAACTTACACCAAACTAAATCAAACCAAAATATAAGATTTCTCTCATTGATTTGATTGATGTTAATCTTTTTTAAGCTTTAATTCTTTAATTTTAGTGTCGAGGACTAGAGTTTACTACAAGAGTTACATTCACAACTATAACAATTATAGTAGTTTAAGTAGATAGTATTTAACTATAATTTATTATCTACTACCTACTATATGTCTGAGTCATTACTTACAAGCACCACTTTTGTTTTTGTTTCGGCTTTATATATAATTTGATTCATCCATGTTGTTGTTACTTACAAATGTGTCATGCTTATATATTTTTGGTTCATATGTGTTTTGTTAATGTTTGCAAATTTATATCTAACATT